AGGGCGGGCTGGCGCGGCCGGCGGCTGTGGAGGTGTACGCGGTTCGCGGGGTCCCTGGTAGCTGCGTGCGTTTCTCTTCTCTCTTGTCGCAGTCAGCGCACTGGTCTGAGAATCTTGGGCTCGTGACAGCCTCTGTGTGGACCTCCGACATGCGCCTGATGTGTGACTGAGGCGTGCACGAGCGAAAGGAACGCTACGTGCGGGCCGCAGCAGCCCCAGCCCGCCTGGAGCTGCTGCCGAGCCTCCTCGGCCTCGCCTGCGTTGCCCCCTCCGTTCGTGGAGGACGGGGCGGCGCGGGGAGCCCCGCTCCCTGCCCTGCACACACACGGCCCCAGCACAGGTGCGCGAGTCTCTGGGATTTCAGAAACGCGGCCCCGTGCTGATCCTGTGCGCTCCGGGGAGCCCTCGCTCACATTTCTGCAGCGACGTCAGTGAAAAGTCCCCGAAGCGGGTTATGGAAAGACTATATGGCGGGGCGCCTGGGTGGCTCAGTCGTTAAGCGTCTGCCTTCGGCTCGGGTCATGATCCCAGGATCCTGGGATCGAGCCCCGCATCGGGCTCCCTGCTCGGCGGGAAGCCTGCTTCTCCCTCTCCCACTCCCCCTGCTTGTGTTTCCTCTCTCGCTGTCTCTCTCTCTATCAAATAAAATAAAGTCTTAAAAAAAAAAAAAGACTACATGGCCTCGTGGCAGTTCGCTCAGGACTTGCTGCCAAATGAGCTACCATAATCTTAGGCTGTTGGGGTCTGATTGTGCAGATAAAGGCTTGTCGACTGCATTTGGGCACAAACATTGTTCACAGGTTATGTCCACTTGTACTTCTGGACGTCGTTGATGTTGGTCTCAGGCAGAAGCCCCGACATCCTCTGATGGCAGGGCAGCTACCTTCTCCCAACCCGCGGAAGTCTTAGGGCCTGAACAAACACTGCTTCCCTTCAGCAGCTTCTGCCTGCACACAGCCCCCTCCCCGTCCTTCCTGGGTCTTCCCTTATGCAAGGTGCAGGTTTCCCGTTCTCCACTCTGACTTCGCTGCTGTGTTTGCATCAGAAAAGTGAGGTCCAGCAACTGGAGGCCTCCCAGCTCTCCCAATTTCTTATCTTTTTTTTTCTTTTTTCTTTTTGATTTAAATTCAATTAGCTGACACAGTACATCACCAGTTTCAGATGTGGCGTTCAATGATTCATTAGTCGCGTATAACGCTCAGGGCTCATCACATCAGGTGCCCTCCTTAATGCCCATCATGTCTTTTTTTTCTTCAGTAACTTTTCTGTCCTTGTTTCTCCTTCAGATCCCCTCAGGCGACTTTCTTCTCCATATTCAGGGAGGTTCAGCCCTCAGTCTTACTGTTCTTCAGCCTTCTTGTCACAGGGCATCTTTGTTTTTTCTTCTTTCTCTGAGAATGTTTTCTATTTAAACACCTCCTGGTTACCAGTGTCTTTGTTCACCTGGCTGCCAGGCCCCAGCCTCGGGTCCCTGGACCCCTAAGAGGTCTGGGAGCACTTTTCAACATTTCAGTCAACTTGGGGAGAACCCACCTTGCCTGAATCAGGCTGTGCCAAAGAGGCAGGTCTCTTTGTTCTGGGAATAGATCAGCTCAGTGTGGTAACCAGGTGCATCCACATGGATGAGGGGAAAGCAGAGAGACCCGGGTTCCATTTAGAGAAGGCTCTTAAGTAGGGGTCCCTGGTGTGGAAAGGTGGGGGTGGCAGGATTCTGCTTTCTGCTCTAGGGTGTGGAGTCTATTTCCACTTGACAGGCTAGGAAAGGCCTCTCTGGAGAGGTAACACTGGAGCAGAGACTGGATATGGGGTGGGGAGCACAGCTGTGGAAGATATCTGGGAAGACATGCTCTGGGCAGAGGGAACAAGATGTGTTGGGGCTCTGAAGTGGGAGGCAGCCTAATGATGGGCTGATGATGGAGCACAGGGAAAAGGGGAGGGAGGGAAGCTGGGTCCTGGAGGACCCTGTGGGTCAGGGAAGGACTTTTCACTTTGTTCTAGGTGTAACAAAATCTGAGGCAAAAAACAGAGCAGTGTGATCTGGTGATATTTTAAAGAGGTCCCTCTGGTTGCTGTCTAGACGCTTCCATGCCTGTCCCTCCAACTGCAGCTTGTCTGCGTTCCTGTTTCCTCAAAGCCATCACCCTTTTTGGTCAGCTGCTCCTCAGTCTGAGAGCGTGAGATGTCCTCAGAGGTGACCCTAGGACTCCGCTGTCTTCCCCTTAACTGACTTCCCTCTGTGGTCTTCTTGCGCGAGGGTAAACACAGAGCTGCTTGACTCCTGGTGGGTTCAGATGATAGATCTAGGGTGCAAAACCAGACCCAGAGCCAGTGTCTTCCAGATTCTGAGGGTGGTTGACCATGTGCTAAAGGCATCCGGACCCAAGTATGGAGCGAGGATCTTGTCAGCTGACTCCCTCAGGCACTACCACATAGGAAGAACTAACAGCATTGAGAAAAAGACCACTACTACTCTGTCGTAAAAAAGAAGGAAATCCTGCCATTTGCAACCAGATGGATAGACCTAGAGGGTGCAGTGAGTCAGACAAAGACAAATACCGTATGATTTTGCTCATATGTGGAATCTAGAATACAGTACGAATCAACCAACAAAACAGAGAACAAACTGGTGGTTGCCAGAGGGAAGGGGGTGGAGGGGTGGGCGAAATAGGTGAAGGGGATTACTGGGCACAAATTTCCAGTCATAAAATAAGTCACAGGGATGAAAAGTACAGCAGAGGGAATATAGCCAATAGTGTTGTCTATAGTCACCTTGCGCAGTGACGGGTGGTCACTGCACTTAGTGCAGTGAGCATTGAGTCATGCGTTGTCCAATCCCTCTGTTGTGCGCCTAAAGAGAGTATCACACTGTAGGTCACTTCAGTTCAAAAATACACATTATCTCCTTGTAAGACATATAGTAACACCGTGTAGACACAGTTTTAAGAGAAACAATATATTGAATTAAAAACAAAGAAAAGGAAGGACCTGACAAGCCCAGCAAGACAGTGTTTCTTTTTTCTTTTTTTTTTAAAGATTTTATTTATTTGACAGAGAGAGACACAGCGAGAGAGGGAACACAAGCAGGGGGAGTGACAGAGGGAGAAGCAGGCCTCCCACAGAGCAGGGAGCCCGATGTGGGGCTCGATCCCAGGACCCTGGGATCATGACCTGAGCCAAAGGCAGACACTTAACGACTGAGCCACCCAGGCGCCCCAAGACAGTGTTTCTGTCCATGTGCGCTTCTCGAAGAGACCACCACAGACTGGGGGGCTGATAAACAATGGAAATGTATTTTTCAGGGTTCTGGAGGCTGGAAGTCCAGGATGAAGGGGCCAGTAGATTCGGTGTCTGGGGAGAGTCTGCTCTCAAGCTGATAGATGCCTGTCTTTTGCTGTGTCCTCACCTGGAGAAAGGGGTGATGGAGCTTGTGGGGTCTCGCTCATAAGGGCACTAATACCCTTCCGAGGGTTTCTCCACCCTGTGGGTGGTCTCCCTGGTGGGCTATCAGAAGACAGCCACTTCATGCTTTCTGTTTCTAATTCCCTTTCCCTCCCTTCCACAATTTGCACACTGTAAGTGTTCACTTAATGCTCGGATAAAGCCTCCCAATATCGTTAGAAAGTGATTAGGATGGCTAGCCAGCAGTAACAACCTTCCCCCGTGAGCAGCCCCAGGTGCTGTTGTCATGGGGTGGGGGGAGGCAGGGGAGTGCAGCAGGGGTGAGAGGCAGGTTCTGAGGGGGCAACCCTATCATCACCTCCCAGAGTGGAGCCCGGCCCAGCCCCTGAGTCTGGAAGAGCTCTGTGGCGGGTAGCCGGTGGGCCTCTCTGAAGGGTGTTGAGTGGGGATCTGGGAGCAGTGTGGAGGGCAGGGAAGGAAGGAGACATTTTTCAGGGAACTCGAGAAGTTGCTCTCTGGTCTGATAGGGTTTTTACAGATTCTCTATAGCTGTTTGATTTTTTTTTTTTTAAGATTGTATTTATTTGACAGAGACACAACAGAGAGGGAACACAAGCAGAGGGAGTGGGAGAGGGAGAAGCAGGCTTCCTGCTGAGCAGGGAGCCTGATGCAGGGCTCCATCCCAGGACCCCGGGATCATGACCTGAGCCGAAGGTAGATGCTTAACGACTGAGCCACCCAGGCGCCCCAGCTGTTTGATTTTTGTTACTAATAAAATCTGTCAGCAGGGAGAAACTGGTGTGATGGGCATGATGAGGCCAGCAGGGCGGCCAGGGAGAGCATTAGCTACTTCCTCCCCTTACCAGCAGACAGCAATGACAGGGCACCAGACTGCTGTCATGGGGAATGGCAGCCACAGCCTCCATGGCTCAGAGGACCAGCACTGTTGGGGGAGGAAGCGTGTGTCACAGTGAGAAGGGCCAGCGAAGAAGCAGAGGCACAGGAAGGGGTGGGGGTGAGGGCCCATGGTGACCTTGAGGCTCCTTCTCAGCACCACTTCCCTCTGGGTACCAGGGACAGACCTCAGGCTGAGAGATCTGCAGACAAGTCCCCCAAGCAGCTCCCTGGCCCTTAAAGAGGCTTGCTCTTTTTTTTTTTAAAGATTTTATTTATTTGTCAAATAAATAGAGACACAGCGAGAGAGGGAACACAAGCAGGGGGAGTGGCAGAGGGAGAAGCAGGCTTCCCGCGGAGCAGGGAGCCTGATGTGGGGCTCGATCC